AGCATTCCTGCACCCCAGAGGGCACCATGGTCCCAGGATCCTTCGTCCTGCACATGGCTGCCTGAGCTAACCTGTGCTGACAAGGGAGAAGTGGGTCAGAGGCATGGCACAGCCCAAGGTGAGCCCTGTCCCGTGGCTGCCCCCTGCCCCCCGTGCAAACCAGCTGGACTGAGCTTTCCGTCTCCTGGGCAGCAAGACTTTATTTGTCCCCAAGTTTGCAAAGAGAAACCTGCTATCAAAGCTCCTAGGGCTGAGGGCAAGAGGGGGATGCTAATGAGCAAACCTGGGTCATATCCACATCCTCCTGGCCACTGAGTCCACCATTGCTCAGATTGGAAAAGTTTTTTTTTTTAATTTATTTATTTGGTTGCACTGGGTCTTAGTTGCGACAGGCGGGCTCCTTAGTTGAGGCTCACAGGCTGCTTAATTGTGGCATGCGACCTCTTAGTTGTGGTATGCATGTGGGATCTCGTTCCCTGACCAGGGATCGAACCTGGGCCCCCTGCATAGGGAGCGTGAAGTCTTAACCACTGCGCCACCAGGGAAGTCCCTGGAAAAGTTTTAAAAGCTCAGCCCTCAGGGGTCTGGGAATGGAAATGTGGGGAGATGAGAAGAGGTCCGTGGGCGCCACGGGAAGCTGGAGAAGGGAGGAATAGGGTTGAGATTTGCAGAGGTTGAATACGTTGTAAGGTAGGGTCTCTGGCAGGTACCCGCATCTCACTGGAGGAAGTGATGGTGAGCTTGCCCTGCTGGAGAGAGGGGCTGAGGAGGGCTTTTGAGTTCTCTCCTGGGCCCACTGCCCTGGCTACTGGGCAGGTCAAGGCTGCTAAAGTTGTAGCCCAGCCAGATCTCCAAGCCCTGGAAAGGAGAAGGAGAAAGCGTGATGGTCTTAAGAGCTAAACTTGAGCCCCTTTTGGAGGTAGTCTCCTTATCTGTGAAGGATGCCCAGCAGGGAGTGCTGCGCTGAGTGTGAACCAGAATGCTGGCCACTGCGCACACAATTTCTCTGAATCATGCAACCCTATGGAATCGTTGTTATACCCATTTTACATTATGAGCAAACCGCAGCTCAGAGAAGTTAAGAAACTTGTGCAAGACCGCAGAGCTGGGAGATTCAAACTTAGCACGGACCGACCACCCCAACTCGGAGGAAGAGTGGAGAGTCTCTTACTCAGTGATGTTGAAACCAGTCATGGAGAGTGTGCTGGTTTAGAGGGGTTTAGGGAAGGTCCAGGTCAAGGTAGGGACCTAGACTGATGACCTTGGGGGCCTCTTCCAGCCTTAGCAAGCTCTGACAGGACGGCTCTGGCTGAAAGTTCCAGTAGCCATACTGTCCTCTTTTTAACATTGATGACTGAATTATCCTCTGCACTGCCTTGAAACTCGTGATTTATTCTCCTTGATGACTAGGCCCTATTCTCCATCATGCTGTCACTTTCCCGAGTCCTCCCAGCCAGTGCTCACAGCTCCGAGGAGAAGGCACTGAAGTCTAGACAGCTGCCCAGGCACCAGCTCCCTCTCCAGGGTCCTCAGCTCACTCCTCTCTCCTCCTGAAAAACAACCCTTCTTCCTGTTTCTAGCCCCGAAAGAGAAGGCAGAGAGAGAGCGAGCGAGAGAGAGAGAGAGAGAGAGAGAGAGAGAGAGAGAGAGAGAGAGGGAGAGAGAGATGGTATCACTGACCCTGAGGAAATGCTAGCATCTAGGCACTGCCCATAGAAGTGCTCTCCTCTCTCGCCTCAGGAGCCATCAGCACTAAGAAAAAGTTAGGACAACTTGTTTCTCTCCCTCGCTGCAGAGCTGAGATGTACCTTCAATCTCATTCATCTCCCTCCCTAGCGGAAAGCGCCTGCTAGGATGGCAGTTCGGTGCGTGGCCTGGGTGTAAAGTGATTCTGTTGTTCTCCCGCCCCCTGCAGGAGCTGTCCTTGGTCCTGAAATGTTCGTCATCCTCATGCTCTACCTCTGGTTTGCCGTCGGCCTGGCCTGCGCTGGCTTCTGCTGCCATCAGCTGCTGTTAATCCTCCGGGGGCAGACCCGCCACCAGGTGCGGAAGGGGGTGGCAGTGAGGGCCCGGCCTTGGCGCAAGAACTTACAGGAGGTCTTCGGAAAGAGGTGGCTCCTGGGCCTGCTGGTCCCCATGTTCAATGTTGGAAGTGAGAGCTCCAAGCAGCGGGACAAGTAGCAGGCACTCCCATCATTTCTCTGTGTGTGTGTGTTGACCCCTTGTGAACATAAGACCACAGCACCCTGTCTCCACCCATGGCCCACTGCAACTTTGGGCTGGTAAGGTCCTAGCATCCACCCCTGGTCTGTAACATACAGAGAATAGCGTTGGCTGGTGGATCATGACAAGGAGGGAAAATGGCCACCAAGGCATTGCTAGGTCCCCCATGAGCCAGCCTGGTGGCTGCTAACCGTTCAGAGCTTCTCTTTTGTTTCTTCCCCCTTGGGGTGCCTGCTTCTCCCCTCTGCCTGGTTCACCCATGCTCCACCAAGTCTCATGTCATCACTGCTATCTGCTAGAGCTTTTCCTCTCAGCCCCATGTTAGGAGTAGGGAGGGGATTCTTGCTGCTGGTATGAAGCTCCCCAGGACCTGGAGTCTGGCAAAAGGTTTAAAATTACCCTGTGTGAGAGGAGCCAAGTCAGCTCTGCCAACTGCTGGTGAGGTTGGGAAAGGAGGGGTGTGTGTCCTCATCCCCTCTGTGGAATTTTGAACAATGGAAGGATAAAAGAACTCAGCAGCTTGCTGCCCAGCCCTCAAGTTGCAAGGCCTTTCTCTGGGAGACAGCAGCCAATGGCCTGGGATTTCTAGCTGCTTGCCCCCCCCCCCCCCCCCCCAGCTGGCAATCCAGTGCAATCCAGGACCTGGCTGGATGCTTCCTTTCCCTGGCACTCTTCCAGCCTTTCCCATTGGTCTCCAGCCTCCGGGTCTTTGCTAGATGCTGGGAAGGCAAGGAAGAAGAGAGAAGGAAAGGGAGATACTGATAAATGAGAGTGGTGTGTGATTGCACAACCATATAGAAGGGGGCATGTGATCGTGTGTGTGTGTGTGTGTGTGTGTGTGTGTGTGTGTGAGAGAGAGAGAGAGAGAGAGAGAGAGAGAGAGGAGGGGAGGGGTGTGTTG